TGCAAAATAGGCTGAAAAAAAGCAAAATAGGGCATTTTCCCAGAAAAAGCCAAAATAGGCAATTTTAGGCAACGATAAAATTAGTTAGAAAGCAGATTTCAGTAAAATAACACCGGATTTGTTCGTTTCAGCATCAGGCCTATCTAGGAAAAAAACAGGCATTTGCCTAAAAATCCTGGCTCTAGTGATTATTAAATTACTTTTTATTGCTATTTAATAGAGAATTAAATTGGCTATAAAATAAAAATAAATAAAAAATTTATATATTTTTTAGAAAAATGTTTAGTCAAAAAATCAAACATTTTTAGTGAAAATGTCCGTTTTTGAGAGATTTTGGACAATAAATTAATTTTAGTATTTAAATTATTAATTTATATTTTTTAATAAATTATTAATAAATTTATTTCTCTATTAACTGACATAAAGAAAATATTTCAAAAATTATTTTCTTATTAATTTTAAAGCTTTAGCTCTAGTAAACGTCATGCTTTCTGTTCTCCATTTTATACTATTTTCTAAGCTTTAATCTGTCTACTCTAAGCTAAGCTTTTTCTTCTTTTCTAAGTAAAAACTACTTCATACACACTACAAACATCCATATAGCTTTTAAGCTCGTTCCTTTTTTATTCTAACGTTCTTGCTTTAATGTTTGTATATTTGCTAGCTTAAAAATGCTTCTCTATATTTTCCTTAAAATTTATCAATTATTTTTAAAATATTAAAAGAAAAGTTTTCTAGTTTAAACTTGAATTTAAAATTAAAACTTTAAGCTTGTTTTTAATTTGTAACTTGTTTAGCAATTAATATTTGTTACTTAAGTTTTCAAGTTTGAACTTTAAAGTTTTAAAGCTTAATCTTAATTTGAAAATAAACTTTAAAATAAACTTGAATTTCGCAGCTAAGTTTAATCAACTTTAAACAAGTTTAAGCTTAAGTTTAAATAAAAGTCCAAACTTAAGTTTAGCCAAGTTTAAACTTAAAAATAAATAAAGTTTAAACTTGAATGTTTAAGTTTAATAATTATGACTAAGACTATGCTTAAACTAGTAAACTTTAAACTTTAAGATCAATCTTAAAAAATATTTTTTTGTGATATTATTTACAATATTAATTAAAATTTTTATGTGTTTATTTTATATTTATTTTCTATAATTTTTAATTTTTAAAATTTAATTTTGCAATAAAGTTTTAATTAAAATTATATTTTCCCATTATTATTACTTGTATGTATACATTCTTATTTTTAACACATTTTTTAAAATTATTTCCATGGTTCCGTGACTTTTGCGCCGAGAACATTTGCGCCGCGACACTTGCGCCGCGACTTTTGCGCCGCGACTTATGCGCCGAGCGACTTTTGCGCCGGGGAACATTTGCGCCGCGACTTTTGCGCCGGGCGACTTTTGCGCCGCCACTATCATTAAAAATATATAGATAACTACAGCCGAACCTCACTTTAGTAGTGTTGTCGGATAGTTGAAAATCTTCGGATATCCGGATCCGATATCCAAACTGAAAATTTCGGATATCCGGCCTTTTTCGGATCCGGATTTTTTAAAAAATGGCGGCGCAAAAGTCGCGGCGCATAAGTCGCCCGGCGCAAAAGTCGCGGCGCAAGGGTCGCGGCGCAAAAGTCGCCCGGCGCAAAAGTCGCGGCGCATAAGTCGCGGCGCAAATGTTCTCGGCGCAAAAGTCGTGATACCATTTCCATATGAACTATTGTAAGTAGTACTTAAATTTTAATTTAATTTTATAGACAAACAATTAAATATTGATTTTCTTACATATATTTTATTTTCAAAAAATTAAATGTACATACTGAATAATTTTATTTTATAAAAATTTTCATTAAACTTTAATTTTTTATTTTATATTATTTCTTCTGTATTTTTATAAATATTAATTTCATTCTAAAAAATGTTTCTTTTAACAAAATATTTACTTAATAAGAAAAATGATTTTTAATCTAAGAATTTTAATCTAAATTTAATTTATTTTAATCTAAAAAAATCTTTTATTTTTTTATGAGTCTAATTTATTTTCTATAGCTTCCATAATATGTATATTTTTATGATTTGAAGTTACTGTCTAAATTAATTGAGATATAGTATATTTCAGAATTTCTTTGAGGTCTTTCCAAAAATTACTAAAAGTAATTCTAAAATTTAACCAAATTTCTAAAGAATTTTTAATAAATTTAATTAATCTATTTTTATTAGAACTTTACCTAATTTCTGTTCCTTTTATATTTATTTTCTGTTAAAAAATTTTTTTCTCTCTAAAATCCATTTGTTTAAACAAAATTATCCTTTAAATAATTTTAAAAGGATAAAAAGACTTTGAAAAATTTTATTTTAAATAGGTATTTATTCCATTTACTTTTTTGCGACAATAATCATTAAATTATAAGTAAATAAATTTTTAATTTTTATTAAAAATTTAACTCTTCAAATCTTAATTATAAATTTTTTTTATTCTAAATTATTTTTAAATGTTTATTAAAAGCATTTTAATCGTCTATAAATTTAAATTAAAAATTAAATTCCGATAAAAAATCACTTTTTTTATTTATTTTCTTTTAAAAATAAATTAATTACAAATTCCTTTCTTTAAAATTCCATTTTCTATTAAATCCGTTCCCGTTTTTACATTTATTTTATTTTCTTATTACTTTTACGCAATATATTAGCTTTTAATCCCTTATATATTTTATTAATTATTTACTTTCTTTTTAAATTTACAATTAAACTCTATTTAGTTATAATTGTTAAAAATAAAGTAATTTATTTAATATAATTTCCTAAATTTAAGCCAGGCCCTATTAAAATCCCTAATATACGCCCAAGGCTTTAATTAGATAATCAAAATTTATGTGATAATTAAATATATATTTTTTAAAAATGAAGAACGATAGCAACATCTTGTATAAACAAATAAATAAATTAAATAATCTTTCTCATAATTAGTTAAAAATAATAATTCTTGACCCGAAAATTATCTATAAAATACTTATTTTCGTCATTATTTAATATTTAAAAATAGGTTAAGAATAATAAACAAATTGGGAAAAATAAAAATCTTTTAAATGTCTGGAATTATTAGTGGGAAATGCCTGGTAGGATATCTATTTTTTCTATTGTTTAACGAGAAAATGTTTATTTTTATCATGCAAGATGTTGTTTTTTTCTTTTTTCAAAAATATTTTTTTCAACTCATTGTCAGAGTTGAAAAAAACATTGCCCGCTTCTTTATCACTTTCCTTCATATATGCATATATCTGCTTGATTTGGTCTTGAGGGTTGATTTATTAGAGAGGCTTGAATCTATGTGAACTTAGCTGACCATAAAAGTCTTTCCACTCAATTTTAATTCTGATTAAACAAAAAATCTGAAAGTTTGATATTTTTAGAAAAATATCAAGAAATAAGGCCTCACACAGTGTTTGTCTATTTAGAAGCTTGTAAAATGAAAATTAAAAAATAAATTGTTTAATTTTTTGAATATCTGTCTCTTTTACTTTATCTCTCATTAAAAGCTTAACTTTTCTAAAAAAATTTTTCCTGCTTAAATAATTTTTTTCCAAAATTGCTTTTATGGCTCCTATACAACTCATCTAATCGTTAACTCATCTATTCGTTAACTCATCTACACGGCCAAAAAGGGTCAACTCATCTAATCGTTAACTCATCTATTCGTTAACTCATCTACACGGCCAAAAAGGGTCAACTCATCTAATCGTTAACTCATCTATTCGTTAACTCATCTACACGGCCAAAAAGGGTCAACTCATCTAATCGTTAACTCATCTATTCGTTAACTCATCTACACGGCCAAAAAGGGTCAACTCATCCAATCCTTGAAATATCGGCCGGTTGAGTCCCTAGCCGGTTGAGTCCCTGGTCAGTTGAGTCTCAACCGGCCCAAGACTCAACCGGCGGTAATCAACCACTCAAACGGCCGGGACTCAACTGACCAGGGACTTAACCGGCTAGAGACTCAACTGGCCATGGACTCAACTGGTCATGGACTCAACTGGCCATGGACTCAACTGGTCATGGACTCAACTGGCCATGGACTCAACTGGTCATGGACTCAACTGGTCATGGACTCAACTGGCCATGGACTCAACTGGTCATGGACTCAACTGGTCATGGACTCAACTGGCCATGGACTCAACTGGCCATGGACTCAACTGGCCATGGACTCAACTGGTCATGGACTCAACTGGCCATGGACTCAACTGGTCATGGACTCAACTGGTCATGGACTCAACTGGCCATGGACTCAACTGGTCATGGACTCAACTGGTCATGGACTCAACTGGTCATGGACTCAACTGGCCATGGACTCAACTGGCCATGGACTCAACTGGCCATGGACTCAACTGGCCATGGACTCAACTGGCCATGGACTCAACTGGTCATGGACTCAACTGGTCATGGACTCAACTGGCCATGGACTCAACTGGTCATGGACTCAACTGGCCATGGACTCAACTGGTCATGGACTCAACTGGCCATGGACTCAACTGGCCATGGACTCAACTGGCCATGGACTCAACTGGCCATGGACTCAACTGGTCATGGACTCAACTGGTCATGGACTCAACTGGCCATGGACTCAACTGGTCATGGACTCAACTGGCCATGGACTCAACTGGTCATGGACTCAACTGGCCATGGACCCTACTTACCAGAGACTCAAACGGCCAGAGACTCAGACGGCGAGAGACTCAAACGACTGGTACTCAATAGTCTCGTTCCAAAGGATGAGATGAAAGTTTTTGGCCGTGTAGATGAGTTAAGGATTAGATGAGTTAACGATTGGATGAGTTGACCCTTTTTGGCCGTGTAGATGAGTTAACGAATAGATGAGTTAACGATTAGATGAGTTGATCCCTTTTTGGCCGTGTAGATGAGTTAAGGAATTTTAGCCGTTTAGATGAGTTGAACGTTTTTGGCCGTGTAGATGAGTTAACGAGTAGATGAGTTAACCGGACACGGCTTTTATCCCTAAAATGCTTTTTTTCTTTCCCAAAGAGCTTTTAAAAATTTTCTTCTACACAATGTCTGTTGATAATTCTTCTCACTTAATAAATAATTCTCACACATCAAATAGCAATATAAAAAATAAAAATGAAAAAATTGAAGAAATAAATAAAAATAATGAACAACTAAAATTAGAAAATGTGCCTTTATTGGTCCGGCAAGAGGAGGAGGAGGAAGAAGAAAAAAATAAAAAAATTTCTTCTCCTTCAAAAAATAATAATTTTTATAGAAAATTGAAAGAAAATTTTGACGAAAAAAATATTTTGAAAAAAGAAGAAGAAAATATTTCTGATACAGAATCAAAAGAAGAATTTTCTGTTAAAGGAAGAAAAATGTCCTCAAAAGTTTTTGATTCTAAAATAGGGGGGAAAAGAAGAAGAAAGGCTTCTTTAATAAAAGAAAAGTTTGGGGGTGCAAGTTTTGTTGAAATGGTTGGTGTTTTTATTTTGTGTTTTTAAGGAAAATATAGTCCAATCCGACCCGGCCCGGGCTTCTTGGCTATAAACCTCGAAAACCCGGAAAAACCGGATTCTATCAAAATACCCGGCTTCCGGGCCGGGCCCGGAAAACCCAGTCCCGGGCCCGGCCCGGGTTCGAACTCTAATTATTATACCGTATTTCCTCAAATAGAACCCCACCCTTAATCAGAGCCCCATCCCTTAATACAGCCCCAACTTGAAGGATAGTTGAGAAATAGAGCCCCGTGGGTTGTAGTAGACGAAATATGGTAGTTTAACAAAGAAAAATAAAAAATTTGAGGAAAAATATTTATTAGAGAATGAAAACATTATCAAAATAAAATCGACATTTAATAAAAAATACTAATAAATTTAAAAATTAATTCAGTTACGTTATGCTGATGGCTGGGATTGGCTTTTACTAACTATAGGTCTGTCAAAAGTCTGAATAAAAAATATGTTTTCTTAAAGGAATACTTACCAGCATATTTGTTGGTGCTATAACCCCCGCAACTTCTATTATCTTTCGTGGTATTACCGATGTTCTTATGGAAGGACAACATAACTTGGAAATTGGAAATTTAGATATGGATGATTTTTCTAAGAAAAGTGTGTAAGAAACTTTTAATAAATAAAACGGAAAATGTTTTCCGGAAAATAATTTTTACTTTAAAAATCGGGAACATTTTTATATATTTTATATGAAATGTTTAACTTGATATTTGGAGAAAAATTTGTTTTTCTTCAAAAATTTAGTGTTGATGTTTTGTGAATGTTTTACGGAAATTTATTTTAGAATATTTTCTGAGGTTTAAACAAATGTTTTATAAATATGTTTTATCAATAAACATCTAATGATACATATGTAGTAGGTTGATGTTAGATAAACATTTTCCGGATGTTTGGTTTTTCATGTTTTTCTGATGTTTTAAATATTTAATTTTATTATCAAAATCGTTATTTAAAATTACAGTAACTCACCACGCGTTACTCTACTTTTTGCTTGGAGTAACTACATTTATCAGTAGCCAAATATCTATGTCAGCTTTTTCAACTTTATGTGAAAGGCAAATTCATAGAATTAGGCAACATCTTTTCAAAGCAATTTTGGCACAAGAACCTGGATGGTTTGATCGCCCTTCTAATCAAGTTGGAGCTTTAACCCACAAAATGAGCTAGTAAATAAATTTAAAAATAATTTTAAATTAAATTATTATCAAGTGGTGTTGAGAAAATAAAAGCTGGCATGAATGATAAGGTTGCAATATGTATCCAAGCTATATCTTGTTGTGTAGCTGGAATATTTTATGGAGTAAGTATGAGTTGGCGAATGACATTAGTTATGTTGGGTGTGTTATCTTTCTATTTTAATTAGTAGAAAACTTTTCCGGAAAATTCCGGAAAGTTATATTTTCATATATTTTCAATATTTCATATAATATATTATTCTCAAGGTGTTTCTCCATTTCTGGTCATTTCTTTTGTCGGTTCCGCCACCGCAGCTTCAAAATTAGTAAGGAAAGAAATGAGTGCCTATTCGGCGGCTGGTGCTGTTGCCGAGGAAGTACTTAATGGAATAAAAACTGTTACGTCTTTTAATGCCCAATATTTTGAAATTGGTCGTTATAAAAAACATTTGGGTAAATTTCTGTATTTTCTATAAAAATAAATTTTTTTTGATAGACGAGGGAAGAAAGACTGGGATTTGTAAAGGTACCTGGATAGCTTTCTTCGCAGGTATTCATTTGCTTGTTATGTTTGGTTCGATGGGTGCTGCTTTTTGGTACGGGACTTGGCTTGTATTGCAAGGGACTATTTCTCCTGGAACTGTAAACTTGGCAAAAAAATATTTTTTAAATTTCGAAAAAAGGTATTTGCCGTATTCTGGTCAGTGGTTGCCGGTGCGTTGCGTATTGGCCAGGCATTGCCAGAAATTGGAGTTATTGTAGCTTCTAAATTGGCAGCTGGAGAATTGTTCTCCATAATTGACCGTAGCCCAACCATTGAAGCTTGTAGTGAAAGTGGAATGAAACTTGCTAATGTTAAAGGAGAAATAGAATTTGTTGATGTTCATTTTACATATCCAACAAGGCCTAAAGTACCTATACTTAGGTAAAATCTACAAAATACTGATCCTTCCCAAATTTTATTTTAAAATTATTTTTAGAGGAGTTTCTTTTTCTGTCAAATCTGGAGAGTCAGTAGCGTTAGTTGGACATTCTGGATGTGGAAAATCTACAATGGTTGGACTATTAATGAGATTTTATGATTCGAAACGTGGTTGTGTTACTCTTGATGGGGTAAGGAAATTAAGGAAATTTTTTTATAAAATTTATAAAAATAATTAATTATTGCTAGTTTAATTAAGAAGATACAAAAATTTAAAAGTTTTCCGGAAAATGTTTCTTAAATATTATCTTGACTGAATAATTTTTCCGGAAAGAATATCAAGGCATTTAACTATATTTTCATTGTTAGTTACCAATACGTGATTTAAACATTGAATGGTTACGCAACAATATAGCTCTTGTGCAACAAGAACCGATACTTTTTGCGGATACTGTTGAAGCAAACATTCGAATGGGAAAAGAGGATGTGACTGTTGAAGAGGTTCGGGAACATTGGGAATTTTGGAAATAAAAAAAACTTTATAGATGATAGATGTTTGTAGAATGGCTAATGCACACGAATTTATTTGTAAATTACCCGAAGGGTACCGTACACGTATAGGCCAGGGCGGTGTGCAACTTTCTGGTGGACAGAAACAAAGGTGTTTTGACGGAGAATAAAATAACTTCATTTAATTCTATAGACTAGCAATTGCTCGGGCATTAGTTAGAAATCCTCGTATTCTCCTTTTGGACGAAGCTACGAGTGCATTAGATGCAGAAAGTGAGCAAGTTGTACAGGAAGCGCTCGAAAGAGCAAGTTCCGGTCGGACAACTATTACAATTGCGGTGATATTTTTAGTTGTTTTACTGAGTGTTTTGCTTTAAAATTTATGTATTTTCCGGAAAATACTTAAAATGTTCTGTTTAACATGTTCCGGAAAATACATTTAATTTTATTTGTTTTTGAATAATTAAACATTTAAATTGTTTTCAGCATCGACTTAGCACTGTTCGCAATGTTGATCGCATTATCGTCTTTGAACGGGGGCAGATTGTTGAAACAGGGAACCACGAAAAATTAATGTCCAACCCCGATTCAGTCTATCGTCAATTGGTTGGGCATTAAAAATATTTTTTAAAAATTATTTTTTAAAAAAGGTTCTTGCCCAACAAATTTCCGGAAATAGTTCACCAGGCTTTGAAACGGATGAAAACTCGTCTGGTAGAAATTAAAAAAATATTTTTCTAAAAATTTATTGCTTTAAATAAATTTAGATGATGATATTGACACTAATCAACGAAAATCTTCATATCACCATACTCCTCGAGCAATAAGAAACTCTATCGCTAGTCTAAGCAGTATCACAATAAATAATAAAATGGCACGTGCCTCAGAAAGAATTGGTCGTTCAATGACTTCTGTAAATGAAGGAAATGAGGAGGAAATGGAAGAGTGAGAGAAAAAAAATTAAATTAGAAAAATATTATTTTTTTAAAGATTGGATGAAGTTATGCAAGAATTAGAAGCAAAACCAGCTTCTGTTTGGGAAATTTTATTGTATGCAAGAAAAGAAGTTTTGTTTATTGTTGTTGGAGTGGTAGAAATTAATACAAAAATTTTTTAAAATTATTTTTAATCTTTTAAAGCTTCTCGCTCTTTGTAGAGGAGTGTCTTTCCCTGTTTTTTCAATAATTTATGGCCGATTATTCCTTGACCTTTCTAATTCTATTGAACTCCAACAAAACACAATTAACAACACAATTGTTAATATTACACAAGAAGAAAGTGTATGTTTGTTTAAACATTTTGTGGGGGAATTGTGTTTTAGAAATAAAAACAAACAAAACACAATTTAAGGGAAAACACATGTTCATATTTTAAATGTTTTGGAAACATTTCTTTGCAAAACACAGAATAATTAATTCCAAAACATGTGAAACAAACATTTGTTTTGTTTGTTGTTGACAGAAAAATTCTAAAATAAACAAAACAACAAACAAAAACAAACAAAACACAATTTGAAGGGAAACACTTTTTTTGTTTTAAATGTTTTGGAAAACATTTATTTTGCAAAACACAGAATAATTAATTCCAAAACATGGGAAACAAACATGTGTTTTGTTTGTTGGGGACAGAAAGATTCTAGAATAAACAAAACAACAAACAAAACAAACAAATGAAAAATACAAGAAACAATTCCGGAACGTGTTTCCGGAAAATTATTTAAAATACAAAAACACAAGAAAATAAGAAACACAAAAAAATACAAAATATTATAGGCAGAAGAAGCAGCACTTAAACTTAACAATTTACATATTTCAACAATAGCTAATTCTATTGCTTTTCTCCTTCTCGGCTTTTGGGGTGCAATTACCACATTTGGATCGGGAACTTTGTTAGGTATTGTGGGCGAAAGGCTAACACAACGTTTACGATTGGATGTATTTAGAAATATTTTGTCACAAGGTGAAATCAAAAATTATTTTTTTTATAAATCAAATTACTTCCGAAAAATGTTTAAAAAATACAAAAATACATTTGTATAATTAATGAAAAATTACAAAACAAATTTAATAATAAAAACAAAAATAAATACAAGATAAATAGTTCAGAAAATTCTATACCTTCAGATTGGCAATCAAATAGATTTCCGGAGAATTATGTAAAATACACAAAAAACACAAAACCTTAAAATTAATAAAACACAAAAATACATTAATTAAATTTCAGAAAATATTTTGTATTTTCTTCTTTGTATTTTATTTCTTTTTTATTTAACAAGACGGCTACTTTTTTGACAACGAACGCCACTATAGCGGCAAACTTTGTCAACGTCTTGCAATGGATGCTCCAAATGTTCAAGCAGCAATTGACCAAAGACTTGCAGAAGTCCTTCAAGGAATAGTTTCTGTAATGACTGGGATAATTGTTGCCTTTTATTTTGGTTGGAATGTTGCCCCAATTGGATTGACTACAGCAGCTATTTTGGTTGTAGCACAAACTTCTGTTACTAATTATTTGAAAAGGAGAGGAATGAGGGATATGTTACTTGCTGAAGATGCTAGTAGGGTAGGGGGATTCTGAAAATTTTTTTTTGAAAATTTTTTTAAAATTTTTAATAGATAGCAGCAGAGTCGATAGAATATGTCCGTACCGTTCAGGCGCTCAATAGGCAAAGAACTGTTTATGAACGATTCCGTTCGGCAGCAAAACTTCCACACAAACTTGCTTTTATTAGAGGTGATTTAGAAATATTTATAATTAAAAGATACTTATTTTTTAAAGGTATTTGGACTTCTTTATCGATAGCAATTAGTTCAAGCTTTGTTCCCTTTAATTTCGCCATTACCTATTATTTGGGACTTTGTTTAATTCAAAGAGGATATACAACACCTTTTGTATTATTCCAAGTTGTTGAAGCATTAAATTTGGCATCATTTACTATAATGACTGCAGCTGCATATTTTCCTGAATATATGAGGGCTAAACTTTCTGCTGGGTAATTTTTGTATTTTTTTGTATTTTATTTTAATAAAATTCTGATTTTTGTATTTTTTTGTATTTTCTATTAATGCTGATTTCTGTATTTTCTATTAATTCTGATTTCTGTATTTTTCTATTAATTCTGATTTCTGTATTTTTCTATTAATTCTGATTTCTGCATTTTTCTATTAATTCTGATTTCTGTATTTTTCTATTAATTCTGATTTCTGTATTTTTCTATTAATTCTGATTTCTGTATTTTTCTATTAATTCTGATTTCTGTATTTTTCTATTAATTCTGATTTCTGTATTTTTCTATTAATTCTGATTTCTGTATTTTCTATTAATTCTGATTTCTGTATTTTCCATTAATTCTGATTTCTGTATTTTTCTATTAATTCTGATTTCTGTATTTTTCTATTAATTCTGATTTCTGTATTTTTCTATTAATTCTGATTTCTGTATTTTTCTATTAATTCTGATTTCTGTATTTTTCTATTAATTCTGATTTCTGTATTTTTCTATTCTGATTTTTCTTCTCTTCAAAATTATTCTTGTATTTTTCCATTTAATTATTAATTCTGAATTTTAGTTTAATGTTTGCAATGGCTAGTCTTCGCCCCCGCATCGATTCTCTTTCCGATACTGGTCTAGATGCACCAATTACCGGCCAAATTGATGCCCAAAACATCCATTTTGCTTATCCAAATTCTGGAAATTTCCAATTAGCTTTAAATGGGTTTTCATTGACAGCTTTAGCAGGAAAAACTGTTGCCCTAGTTGGGCCTAGTGGGTGTGGGAAAAGTACAATGATACAGTTACTTGAACGATTTTATGATCCTTTTAGTGAGTTTTTCGGGAGAAATTAAATTTAAAAAATTATTTTTTTGAATAGGTGGAGTATTAAGTATTGACGGAGTAGATATTCGTCGTTACAATATTCGCCATTTACGAAACTCAATCTCCTTAGTTGGCCAAGAACCTACTTTATTTGCACTTTCAATAAAAGAAAATATAACTTATGGACTTGATAAAAACGATATTAATGAAGATAAAATTAAATTAGCAGCAAAATTAGCTAATATTCACGATTTTATTGAATCTCTTCCTCAAGTAAATTAAAAAAAAATTTTTTTTTAATTTTTAAAAAAATTTTCAAAAAATAGAAATATGATACTCCAGTAGGCTCTCGTGGAGCGCAGTTAAGCGGGGGACAAAAACAACGTATTGCTATTGCACGTGCAATTATTAGAGATCCGAAAATTCTTTTGTTGGATGAAGCAACAAGTGCGTTAGATACTGAAAGTGAAAAGGTGGGGAAGATTTTTTCATCAAAAATAAATTTTTTGAGAAAAATAAAAAATTAAAAGGAAAAAATTACAAGTACATAATCCTCTAAACAAAATAATTTCCTTTAGAATTATTGTTAGTAACATTTTTCTAACGATTAATTTGAAGAGATTTGCCTATCAGCTGTTAGATTCGAAACCGCAAATTTCCGTCATTTTTTGGGTCGAGAATTACCAATTCCTGGAATGGGGAATTTATTATGCGGCACAATCATTGCTGTATACCTTCCCACCAGTCTAAACCTCGGTGTCCTCAGTGAAACATCTGTCAAGTAAACTTTAGAGAAGTGAGAAGATGATAATGATAAGTTAAAGCTAATTATCTAATGGATAAATCACCAAACAAAATTTCAGGTAGTCCAACAAGCATTAGAAGCAGCCCGTACAGGCCGTACTTGTTTAGTAATAGCTCATCGCTTAAGTACAGTTCAATCTGCCGATTTAATTATTGTAATGCGTGAAGGACAAGTTTTGGAGATGGGGACACATTTACAATTACTGCAGAGTGGGGGGCTTTATTATAAACTTGTACAGAGGCAAAAATAAAAAGAGAAACAAAAATATATATTTGATAGTTTATTTGTATATATTTATTGTTTGAGATTAATCAAAATATAGAAATTTTTATTGAGAAAAAATAAAATTTAAATTCTTCGTGTCAACAATTAAAAAACATACATATGTATGTAGTTAGTCAAGTCTTATTTTTAAATTTCTAGAGAAGGAACCGATAGATCGGTCACAAACAATTTTGGCAGGACCGGCCCGACCGAGTCTTTTACGGGCCAAAATTCGAGGCCCGATTCGACTTTCAGACCGAACCGGGCCGGCAACCCTAATTAAAATATATGCATCAAGGTCCGAAATATGCAAAAATAAGCATTATATCCAGATAGAAACCTCCTCTTGAGTTTTCAAACCAAGCCGAAACTGTGTTTTTTTTCATTATACATCATGCCAAGTTTGCAAAAAATATGCATTTGCTTAAAAATCACAACTCTAATAATGTAAAAAAACAAAAAAACTGCAAATTTCGAAACAATTTTCTTCAATTTATCGTCATTTTAAATAAAACAATTTAATGATAAATATCAGAAAATAAAACTAAAAATTACTTTTAAAAATAAAGAGACAGAATTTTATCAAAAAAAAAGATTTAAAAAATAAATTAGTGTTTCTTACCAAGACCGCTAAATCGGCCTTATTGAACACTTTAAATTCCAGTAATATACTGGATGTTTTTAATATAAGGAGGGGGGGTTTAATTTAATGGGGAAAGTGTTGGTACTATCCGTTATACACCCACAAACTTAATGTCAGCCAACCTTGATCGGTTATAATTACTCGATGCTTAATCCACTAATATAAATTTTATATCATTCGAAAGCCCTCGATAAGCGGTAACTTTTTTCCAACTAGATGGATCAGGTTTGATCACTCGTTAAAAGTTATAACCCGATAAATGTGAAAAACACCAAATAATATGTCGATTATAATGTATCGAGTTATAACTTCCTAATGAGTGATCAGACTTGATCTATTTAATCAAAAAAGATACAGCCTATAGAAGGCTTTCGAATATAAAATTCATTTGTATTCGATAAATTATCAAAGTCGGTTGGCACTCTGTTTGTGGGCGCATAAAGCATAAGTACCCTGTTTTTATATGAAACATCAAACTCAAAGCTCTCAAATTAGTTAACATCGGAATTCCCATCCTCCATGTCTCAGTCACTAAATTCCTCTTCCTTCTTTACATCCGAATCTTCTTTACCATGATAACCTGAACCTTCGTGGATCCCCATATTTTCTTCGAGATGCCCCATGTTGTAGTCTCCTTGTCCAGTGTATTGTTCGTGTCCAATATGTTGTTGGTGTCCAGTATAATCCCCAGAACCTTGCTGATATCCAGAAATATGTTGATTGCCATAGTCTGTCTGATATCCATAGTTTTGCTGCTGATGTCCAGTGAAATAATTTCCTAGAACACTTGGTTGATTGTATCCCAAAGGTTGATTGTATCCCATCATCTTGGTTGATTGTATCCCTCCAGTGTATTGTCCGAGTTCATGTCCAATATATTGTTGGTCCCCAGAACCTTGTTGATATCCAGAAATATGTTGATTTCCATAGCCTGTCTGATATCTATAGTTTTGCTGCTGATGATCACTCAGATATTCACGATGTTCCTGGTATTCACGATTACTTCGTTTGTTCTGTCCTGATGAACTTCCTTGTCCATAATTATGTCCAAATCCCCAATTGGAAGTATCTCCGTATTTACTGCACATTTTTTTAATCTTAAAATTGTCAAAATTAGCTAGCAAATATTTTTTTAGTTTATTATTTAAAAAATTAAATAATTTTTTAAAACATTTTCGATAATCATTTGATGTATTTCATCAAGGCTTTCCTTATTTCTATGGTTGAGTATGTTTTTGTAAAAACCAGTAAAGAGGTATTTCTGTTTTTCTTCATCATCCAACAAAATGTTCATTGTAATTCTTTTAACTTTTTCTACCAAACGCTTTATATTTTTCAGTCGATCGTAGAACGAATTAAAATCTTTAGAAATATTTAATTTTTCTCCAATTAAATTGCAGGTATTTTTGTCCATTTTTTCATCGGATACTTAAAAAATATTTTTAAAAATATACTACGAGTAGTTATGTTTATTTGACAATTAATTTTGCTTATTTTAAAATTTTGACTCACTAAAACTGAACCTGTCTAAACCGGTTCCAGACATTTATCGGTTCCACTGTTCCAGTTCCGGAACTAGAACCGCATCGGTTCCGAAACTGGGTGCGACTTTCGTGGCAGGGAAAAATTTTACAGTAACGGAAGCTGCGGGGAATTCAGATTCGGCGAACGGGGTAGGGAGATCCCCGAGGTATTCCCATGGGAATTTTTCCGGGGAATCTTTCCCCGGGGAATTTTTTCATCTAAATTTAAATAAAATTCGAAAAAACGGCAATTTTAATTAATTTTATTAAATTTTAATTATTTATCACTAGTAACGTTGGCGTATCATGGTATCCACAGATATCCAGATCCGGAACCAAAATTTTTAAAAAATTTGTATTAAATTTTTATTAAAGTAGTAAATGATGGTCAGTTACTAAGTCACGGAATTTTCCGAGATCAAAGCGGTAACTTGTGAAAAATCACGTTACGGGATCCCAGAACTGCGATTTTGCAGCATTTAAAAAAACTACCATAATCTTTAAAAAGTAAAGGATTAAATTCTTCCACTTGAATTTCAGAATCCAAAGAAATATTTGTTGGATATTCATTGCTCTCATCTTCAAGTAAATGAAGTAAATAATCGTTTCCTAAATTTTAATTTATTTATAGACAAATAAGTAGAAAAAAAAAGAAAATTTCGAAACTAATTGTTGCGTATGGGTGTAAGCCCTTATGTATACATACCGTATTTACTCGATTAATTCCTCACCCTCGAATAATTCCACACCCTCTATAATTCCCCATGCCACGGATGGGTTGAAAAAATAATTCCTCGGGGGAATTAATCGAGTAAATACGGTAATAGTATAAAAGCCAGCCCTTAATTACCGAACATGTTATCTAAATAATTTTCGTCTGCGACGCTGAATATAAGCCCCCAAAGTTTTAGGATCCCCCAAATCCCTAAGTAAAATTATAAAATTTTGGAAAATAAATTATAACCTTTTTCTTTCAAAATATTTGAGAACCCTTCAAGACTATTGTATTTGTAAACATAAGTCAGAATCGACAAAACATCCCTAATTTTGGTATTTTTAAAAATATTTTATTAAAAATACTTACGTGTATTCGTTTCTTTTTTCAAAATAATTAATTAAAATATCATTGTAGTAATTTTTATTTTGTCCGTGAAATTTAATAAACAAACGAATTAAATGTTGAATTAATTTAATTAAATTCCAAACAATAAATATATTTCGTTCAAGATCGGTTGGAGTTGGATTTTTAAAAGAGTTTGAAAGTAAAAAGAGTTCCTCCTTACTTAATTTATATATTAAATATTAGTGAATAATGTAGCACGACTTTTGATGGCTATTAGCTTTTGATATCGCCCCACAACAAAAATTTCAATTTTTGAAATGTTCAAATAACATTGTTTTTAATTTTAAGTTGGCCAAATTAGAGAAATATTTGGCGGCTGGAAATTGACCTGTGCCCGATGTAGGCTTCGCCTATTTCTAATCAAATAAATATTTACATATTACCTAAAAGTGTCCGTATTGTTTAAAGTATTTATTGCTACTTCAGTCAATTTTGTATTTGTTTTTAATAACGAGTAATTCACTCCATATGGTAAAAATCTTGAATTGTTTAAAAATTCAATGTATTCCCCATGAATCATCGTTTCACTCATATTCTTTAAACAAATTTCAATCTTTTTGCGTTGTAATTGTGGATCATGTAAAACTTTAAAATTATAAATTGGATATTTTTTGTAAGGTCGTCTTCCCGTCTCAAATTGAACTTCATTAAAATACGGGGTATTATTAAATATGGTGTATTTATCCTCGCGGAATTCCAACTCACGGAACGTACAGGTCCCGTAACAACAAGTCACGGAATTACCAAATCATGGCCCGACTATCTCAAGGAATTACCAAAATACGGAATATTTTGAAAATTAGAATATTCTTAGAAATCAGAATTTTTTTTGAATTGTTGGTAAGGTTCGGCTTTTATGAACACAATCAAACCCATGTTTCTCTAGTCTAAAAACATGTGAGGAGATAAAATATCACTATAAAAGTGGCTGATATTTCGAGGGATAGGGCAAGGAATGGTCCCAGACTCAGTGGGTGTAGGTCCAGAACATAAAGAATTGCTAAGGAACCATACATACTAGTGTTATTCATGGTACCGTATTACCGCGGTATTTTTCGGTAATACCGCGGTATTTTTACCGAAATACCGATACCGAATACGGTACCGAACAATTTTTAAAAAATCCGTATTTTTTCGGTATCGGTATTTACCGAAAATACCGATACCGATACCGAAAAATCGCGTTGGAATAACACTAATACATACCCCAACTTTACAACCCAAGAAGAATCCAATTTTCTTTTGATTGGATGCGTAAAAGTTCATTGGTCGCATAAACTAGACCAGCGCCGACATTTTTAATAGGTAAAAAGAAAGAGGGTAATCAAAAAACATACGGTTTTCGAATTTAAACATTTTCTTAAATTCTTTTTCAAATTTTTCATTATAATTGTAGATAATCTTTATAAAAAATGATTTTAAATATAAATTTAAAAATAAACCTTATTTAATTTTTCTGATGTTATTTTAAATGATTCTAATTCAAAAATCTTTGGGGTGTATGGAATTAATGTTATTTTATTTCCACTTTTAATAATATTTTTGTGTAAATTGTTTGTTGGCCCGTTCAATTTTAATTCTTCAATTTTAATGCGATCAAATGTTCGAATTAAAAGGGACAATTCAACAAGAGAAAAATCAGTTTCATGGAAGGTTGTTGGTGCTGAAGAACTTTCATTCGCTTTTTCCTTTCCTTT